TCTTCGTTTTGTTGACTGTTTCCTTTGCTGTGCAAAAGCTTTTTATCTTGATGAAGTCCCAAAAGTTCATTTTCGCTTTTGTTTACCTTGCCTTTGGAGACATGTCTTGAAAGAAGTTGCTGTGGCCGATGTCAAAGAGGTTACTGCCTATGTTCTCCTCTAGGATTTTGATGGATTCCTGTCTCAACGTTGAGGTCTTTCATCCATTTAAGAGTTTATCTTTGTGTATGGTGTAAGAAAATGGTTGAGTTTCATTCTTCTGTATATAGCTGTCCAATTTTCCCAGCACCATTTATTGAAAAGACTGTCTTTTTTCCATTGCATATTTTTTCCTGCTTTGTTGAAGATTAGTTGACCATAGAGTTGAGGGTCCATATATGGGCTCTCTATTCTGTTCCATTGATCTGTCTGTTTTTGTGCCAGTACCATGCTGTCTTGGTGATCACAGCTTTGTAATATAGCTTGAAATCAAGCAACGTGATGCCCCCAGCTTTGTTTTTCTTTTTCAACATTTCCTTGGTGATTTGGGGTCTTTTCTGGTTCCATACAAATTTCAGGATTGTTTGTTCCAGCACTTTGAAAAATGCCATTGGTATTTTTGATCGAGATGGCGTTGAAAGTATAGATTGTTCTGGGCAGCATAGACATTTTAACAATGTTTATTCTTCTGATCCATGAGCATGGAATGTTTTTCCATCTTTTTGTGTCTTCTTCAATTTCTTTCATAAATGTTCTGTAGTTTCTAGAGTGTAGATCTTTTACCTCTTTGGTTAGGTTTATTCCAAGATATCTTAGATTTTTGGTGCAATTGTAAATGGAATTGATTCCTTAATTCCTCTTTCTACAGTTACATTGTTCGTGTACGGGAAAGCAACTGATTTCTGTGCACTGATTTTGTATCCTGCCACATTACTGAATTGCTGTATGAGTTAGTGATTTGGGGGTGGAGTCTTTTGGGTTTTCCACATAAAGTATCATGAATGCTAGTTTAAAATATATATGAGTAGCTTTAGTGGAGAAGTAAAGACTTAAAGACAGAGGAGGAAAAAAGGATGAAAGCCTGAAATGAATAGGATAAATAAGATAAATAATGGACATAGCAAACTTCTATACCCATAGAAATAAAACTTTGCATGCAGACTCAACTAAACAAGGGTTCCAATATATATATATGCATATTTTGGCTATTTGGTTACCAGGTAAGATTCTAGGACCTTGTATTTCTTTCTTTTTTTTTTTTTTTAGATTTTTTTATTATTTTTTTTTATTTATATGACAGAGAGAGACACAGTGAGAGAGGGAACACAAGCAGGGGGAGTGGAGGAGGGAGAAGCAGGCTTCCTGCGGAGCAGGGAGCCCGATGCAGGGCTCGATCCCAGGACCCTGGGATCATGACCTAAGCCGAAGGCAGACGCTTAACCATCTGAGCCACCCAGGCGCCCCTAGGACCTTGTATTTCTTTAGGCGGTGTGCAACAAGGAGCAAAATAAGAAAACAGATTTTAGGAAGCAAACCTTTAAAAATACCTAACCATAGCATTCTAAAGGGAAAGAGGAGAGCTTTAGAGACAAAACTAAGTTGTGAGAAACAAATGTAGGAGATCTGACTACAAAGTAAAAGCAAAACCAGTTTACGTGTATGGGAACCCCTTTACTCAAAACCACCTTTTCCTGGCACTGCCCAAGTTCTCCCCTTCTGTGAATTCCACCACCACTACAGCCTCCCCACTTTTTTTTTAATTAAACATTTTTAAAATTTAAATTCAATTAATTAACACATAATGTATTACTGGTTTCAGTGGTACAGGTCTGTGATTCCGTCTTATACCCAGTGCTCATTACATCACATGCCCTCCTTAATGTCCATCACCCAGTTACCCCATCCTCCACCCCTCTCCCCTCCAGCAACCCTCAGTTTGTTTCCTGTAATTAAGAGTCTCTTATGGTTTGTCTCACTCTGTTTTCATCTTGTTTTATTTTTTCCTCTCTTCCCCAATGATCCTGTTTTGTTTCTTAAGGTCCACATGTCAGTGAGATCATATAATTGTCTTTCACTGGTTGACTTATTTTGCTTAGTATAATACCCTCTAGTTCCATCCATGTTGTTGCAAATGGCAAGATTTCATTTTTTTTAATGGCTGCATAATATTCCATTGTATGTATATACCACATCTTCTTTATCCATTCATCCATCGATGGACATCTAGGCTCTTTGCATAGTTTGGCTCTTGTGGACATTACTGCTATAAACATTAGGGTGCATGTGCCCCTTTGGATCCCTACATTTGTATCTTTGGGGTAAATACCCAGTAGTGCAGTTGCTGGGTCATAGGGTAGCTCTATTTTTAACTTTTTGAGGAACCTCCATACTGTTTTCCAGAGTGGCTGCACCAGCTTGCATTCCCACCAACAGTGTAGGAGGGTTCCCCTTTCTCCACATCCTCGCCAACATCTGTCGTTTCCTGACTTCTTCATTTTAGCCATTCTGACTAGTGTGAGGTGGTATTTCATTGTGGTTTTGATTTGTATTTCCCTGATGTCGAGTGATGTTGAACATTTTTTCATGTGTCTATTGGCCATTTGGATGTCTTCTTTGGAGAAAGGTCTGTTCATGTCTTCTGCCCATTTCTTGATTGGATCATTTGTTCTTTGGGTGTTGAGTTTGATAAGCTCTTTACAGATTTTGGATATTAGCCCTTTATCTGATATGTCATTTGAAAGATCTTTTCCCATTCTGTCAGTTGTCTTTTGGTTTTGTTGACTGTTTCCTTTGCTGTGCAAAAGCTTCTTATCTTGATGAAGTCCAGTAGTTCATGGAAGCTCTCTTATTAGGCAACCTTCAGTGGACCACTAATCTAGGATGGTGGGGAACATGGTAAGTCCAGTGAATTCCATGTATCATCACTGTGGGGCATCTCAACAGAGAAATGGGATGGATATATATATGTATATATATACATATATATACACACACACCAAATTGAAATTCAATTTGAAAGTAACATTTACTGAAATGAAAACATCACTGAATAGGGAAATGCATATGGGAAATACAAAGAAAAATTTCATGAACTTGAAGACAGAGCAATAGAAATTAATCTGAATAACAAAAAAAAAGACGATTAAGATCAGTAACCTGTGGGACAAAACCTGGAGTGTGGAGAGAGGAGCTTTTCTGTGGCTGATCATTCATGGCTAGGAGTTTGGCTGTATGGGGTTTGGGGAAGGTGGCACAAATAAGTAAATACATTGAGGATAATGGGTGCCAGGTTTCTTGCTGTTAAGGAGAGTTGGAATGTATGTAAATGGGGTCAGTTAGAATAAGCCCTCTGGTTTGGGTTGGAATTGAAGGTATAAATGTGACCTCATGGTTTTTAATACTTATGCATGGATATATGAACAGATACAGATTGTGTATGTGTGTGTGTGTGTGTGTGTACGTGCATGCACACCTATACAAAGGTATATATCCTGGCTTTATTCTGTGAGAAATTGTAGAGCAATAACACCTCTGTAGCAATGAGCATACCTAGGGCTGAAATCTTAGTCTCTAAATATCATTCTCATTTTCTGTTTAAAGAATGTGTTTTGAGAGGAAGAGGGTGATGAGTGCAGGTGGTGATGAAGGATCCATGCAAACTCTTTGGTACAGTGTCCCACACTGGCTGCTTCTCTTCTTCCACATCTGTGCCCACAAGCTCCCTAGGCTCATAAGGCTTCACAGTGGTAGTAGCAACAAGTGGTGGGAGTAGTTTCAAGCAGGGGCATCTGTCCTGCTATAGGGATTGGTTGTTAGCTGGGTATTTATAAGTAAGGTCGAGCTTGCTTTTATTTTGGGAAGCACAACAAGGGTTTTATAAATTATAAATCCCAGCTGGCTGTACCAGGCTTAGTTACAGAGGTACTTTCTGAAGAAAGCTAAAACATTCAATTCTTTTGTTTAAAACAATAGATAGACTACTTTATTCAGTAAGTAGCACAGTCATTACAAAAACCATATCCCAATCCATATTTTGGATATAAAAGGTGAAATGCCTTGGGGAATTGGAAAAAAAGAGACTTAAGACAAAGCATGAGAGACACACTCTTAGGTCTAAAATCTGCTCTCCACCCCCTACTGAGACTTATTCTCATCTACTGTTCTTTGAAAGGCTGCTGAACCATAGCTTATCTATTTTAATCACTAAACCTGTGCGGGCCACACTCCCATGAAGACCCCGAAGGCTGCAACATTAGTGTCCAGACAGCCTTACCAACTGCTATGGACTGAATGTTTATGTGCCCCGAAAATTCATATGTTAAACCTAATGCTCCATGTGATGGTATTAAGAGGTGAGACCTTTGAGAAGGGACTGGTTATGAGTGTGGAGCCTTCATGAATGGGATTACCACCTTTACAAGAGAGACCCCAAAGAGCTACATTGCCCCTTCAGCCATGTGAAGTGACAGCTAGAGAGTGCCATTCATGAACCAGAAAGCAGACTATCATACCAAAACTGCCAGTGTCTTGATCTTGGACTTCCCCACCCCCAGAACTGTTGAGGAATAAATTTCTGTTGTTTATAAGCCACCCAGTCTATGGTATTTTTGTTATAGCAGTCCAGACAAAGACACCAACCGTTCACTAACTCATTCAGCATTCAAAACAATCAACATTCCATTTGTATTGCATGCACAATATTCTGCAAGGCACTTGGAGAATTACTAACATGTTTAAAATATGCTCCTTACACTTACGGAGTTTATAGGCTATCAGTTTGACAAGGTTTTGCTTTAAAACAATATATTGTAGGTGTGTCAATTTGGCATACTCTTCTAAGAGCCAAAGCCTCCTGACTATAGCTGTTCCTAGCAACCCAAAGATGAAGAGAAAGCAACGAATAACTAAGGTAGTGTTGCTGAGAGACGAGTAGATAAAATAATCCACGTGAAACACTGAAAATATGCTTCCTACGTAGTAAGCAGATGTTTGCTGTAGACATGATTTTGAAAATGAAATATGCAGGCAAGTTCTTTTTTCATTTTTTGGAGGAAGAATAACATGGAAAACTTTTTTAAAATTAAAAAAAAATTTTTTTAAAGATTTTATTTATTCATTTGAGACAGAGAGATACAGAAAGAGAGAGCATGAGCAGGAGGAGATGCAGAGGGAGAGGGAGAAGCAGGCTCCCTGCTGAGCCAGGAGCCCAACGTGGGGCTTGATCCCAGGACCCTGAGCTGAAAGCAGATGTTTAACCACCTGAGCCACCCAGGCGCCCCAACATGTAAAACTTTTTATTTTCAAAATAGTTGATTGCAACCACAGAATTCTTCCATGAAATGTGTTCCCAGGTAAAAACTTTGATGAATCTTTCATTATGTGCTACAACTAACATTACACTAAAATTGTAATAGGACCCCTTTAATGGCCACCTTAAGTAAACTAAATTGAAGGGTATTTGATTTACCTATTAAACTTCATATATTCCAAGACCACTTTATGAAGTTATTTGGGATCATAAAGGAAATAGATTTTGAGTAATGCTGCATACTAATAGTTCCTTAGTAAACTATCTTGATTGTCTAAATGCATGCAAAGGGAAAATGTTTCACACTGTCAAAATACCCCTAAGTAGTGGTCCTCCCAGCCTCCCCAGTATGTTCAATGACAGGGAAATCTTTAAATCTGAACGCAGGCAGTGCATGTTATTAGAATATGCTTTCAGAAATTCTTACCAAATGGTCCTAGTTGTAGCCTGTGGAGCCTCACGTATCCTACTGAGATTCACACCCACCATTTGCTATCTAGTGCTGTTACACTCCAAAGGAAAAGAAAAAAAAAATCAATTTGGACATTAAAATCAGAGAATATTATAAGCAAATAAAGATACCTGATAAGGGCACTTCAAGAAAGGAAACATTTTAAGAATGTCCTTCAGAGGTGTTCTGCTGCCAATCAACTTTCTTCTTATTTCCAAAGTCTGACTCATCCTCTTATCAATTTCTTTCCAGTCCTTTTCTGTTTTCATATATTCTTGCTGGAACCAGTTAATATGTTCATCTGCCTCAGAATCTAAACAAACAGTTTCTTCCTGCAAAATATTTTTGAAATATCAATATGTTTCATTTTTCAAGTGGCAGTTTAACACTTCATGAGAACTTGAATCATAGGCCGTTATTGCAGACTCTTAATGCACTCCTAAGGTGAGTGTTACCACATGTGATTACACTTGGCCTTGACTGTGGTTAACAAATGGACAGTCTTTAACAAATCAGAGAGTTCATTACTTACTATCATTACTTGCAATCTGTTCTCTTGACAGATGTAAGAGTTACTTCATTTTCTACATACCCTGTTAGTGGAAACCTAGATTATCTAGAAGGTTCACACTTAACAGGAATGTTTTTTTATTTCTACTCATTTAAATATTAAAAGAGATAAAGAGGTTTTAAATTAAGGTTTTGTCATTGCTACTGTTTGTATTTTTCCTTTTTAAATGCCTTTGTGTAGCTGCACTACTATGCCATAAAATCCAAATTCAAAATAATAACAGTGGGTATTTTGTGATACTAAATCATCAAACTGTCAATTATATTTACTATAAATTTGAGTACATTGGGTGGGGTTGGATGGCTAGGAAATACCTTACATACCCTTACTAAAAATCCAAGACGATCAGTTTGAGGAGCCAAAAAAAAAGATGCTTCTAGAAAAATTTGTTGAGGGGCAGTCAGACAACAAAAATAAAAGGCATCCAAATCGGCAAAGAAGAAGTCAAACTTTCACTATTGCAGATGACATGATACTCTATGCAGAAAATCTGAAAAACTCCACCAAAAATTTGCTAGAACTAATATATGAGTTCGGCAAAGTCACAGGATATAAAATCAACATACAGAAATCTGTTGCATTTCTATATACCAATAATGAAGCAGCAGAAAAAGAAATCAGGGAATCGATCCCATTTGCAATTGCACCAAGAACAATAAGATACCTAGGAATAAACCTAATCAAAGAGGTAAAAGATCTGTACTCTGAAACCTTAGAACACTTTGAAGGAAACTGAAGAGCACACAAAGAAATGGAAAAACAGTCCACGATCATAGATTGGAAGAATAAACGTTGTTAAAATGTCTATACTACCCAAAGCAATCTATACATTTAACGCAATCCTTATCAAAATACCACCAGCATTTTTCACAGAACTAGAACAAACAATCCTAAAATTTGTAAGACCCTGAATAGCTAAAGCAATCCTGAAAAAGCAAAGCTGGAGGCATCATGATTCTGGACTTCAAGCTATATTACAAAGCTGTAGTCACCAAGACAGTATGGTACTGGCACAAAAACAGACAAATAGATAAATGGAACAGAATAGAAAACCCAGAAATGGACCCACAACTATATGGTCAACTAATCTTTAACAATGTGGGAAAGAATATCCAATGGAAAAAAGATGGTCCTTCAACAAATGGTATTGGGAAAACTGGACAGCAACATGCAGAAGAATGAAACTGGACCACTTTCTTACACCATACACAAAAATAAATTCAAAATGGATGAAAGATCTAAATGTGAGAGAGGAAACTATCAAAATCCAAGAGGACAACATAGGCAGCAACCTCTTTGACCTCTGCCATAGCAACTTCTTACTAGACACGTTGCCGGAGTCAAGGGAAACACAAGCAAAAATGAACTATTGGGACTTCATCAAGATAAAAAGTTTCTGCACAGTGAAGGAAACAATCAACAAAACTAAAAGGCAGCTTACACAATGGGAGAAGATATTTGCAAATGACATATCTGATAAAGGATTAGTATCTAAAATCTATAAAGAACTTACCAAACTCAACACCCAAAAAACAAATAACCCAGTTAAGAAATGGGCAGAAGATATGAATAGACACTTTTACAAAGAAGACATCCAGATGGCTAACAGACACATGAAAAGATGTTCAACATCACTCATCATCAAGGAAATACTTTTCATACTGAAATCTGACTTTTTTTATTTTTATTTTTTAATTTTTAAATTT